CAGTTGTTATTGTTCTGAGTGGCGCTGTCAAACATTAAAATGGCCGTGAATTTGTGTGGCCCTGTCTCCCTTTGTCCATGTGTGTTTATGCAAGAGTTTCTGTCAAAACATGGAGAAAAAAAGATAAATGTGGTTAATTAAAAGAACATTTATTTGGTAGTCGCTGTAATAGATACCTCATTGTTGGGTCCGTGGGCAAAGCTAAACCCTTTAACCCATCACAACCGCTGCTAAAACTGAATTTGACTCCAGCAGAGGTGTTCGACTTTTCCTCTTGTATGTTACTTATCACTGCCACACACACACAAACAAATGCATACAAACACATACTGTGGCCAATGGCAAAAAACATTCCGTAAAACTTTTTTAATAGCTTCAGAATTTGTTTTGCTTCAATCGCGGAACTCAACTGGCGTTTATTTGGGACAGCCATTTCATTTCTTTTTTTAAATAAAGCTTGCTCATCAAAGATGGGAAATACTTTTGAACCAGTATGAATATTCCCTACACTACCAGTCAAAAGTTTGGACACACCTTCAAATTCGAAGTTTTTTATTTATTTAAATGTGTTCTACTTTGTAGATTAATACTGAAGACATCAAAACTATGAAAGAACACATATGGAATTATCTAGTTAAAAAAAAAGTGTTAAAAAATCCAGAATATGATTTTTATTTTAGACTCTTAAAAGTAGCCCCCTTTTGCCTTGATGACAGCTTTCCACACTCTTGGCTTCTCTCAGTGAGCTTCATGAGGTCGTCACCTGGAATGGTTTTCAATTAACACGTGTGCCTTGTCAAGAGTCAATTTGTGGAATTACTTGCCTTCTGAATGTGTTTGAGACCATCAGTTATGTTGTGCAGAGGTAGGGTTAGTGCACAGTAAAAATCCCTATTTGACTATTGTTGTTGTAATCCATATTATGGCAAGAACCACTCAACTCAGTGAAGAGAAATGACCGTCCATCATTACTTTAATAAATGAAGGTCAGTCGATGCGGAAAATGTCAAGAACTTTGAAATTATCCTCAAGTGCAGTCGCAAAAACCATCGAATGCTATGATGAAACTGGCTCTCATGAGGACCCCCCCGGGAAAGGAAGACCAAGAGTTAGCTCTGCTGCAGAGGATAAATACACACGAGTTACCAGCCTCAGAAACCGCAAATTAAAGCACCTCAGATTAGAGCTCACATCAACTATCACAGGGCTCAAGTAGCAGACAAATCTCAGCATCCACTGTTCAGAGGAGACTGCGTGAATCAGGCCTTCATGGTCCAATTGCTGCAAAGATCCACTACTGAGGATGAATAACAAGAAGAAGATAATTGTTTGGGCCAAGAAACACAAGGAAGGGACCTTAGACAGTGAAAACTGTACTTTGGTCTGATGAGTCCAAATGAGAGATTTTTGTTTCCAACCTCTGTGTCTTTGTGAGACACAGAGAAGGTGAGCGGATGGTTTCTGCATGTGTGGTTCCCACCGTGAAGCATGGAGGAGGAAGTGTGATGTTGTGGCCGTGTGGGGGGGCTTTGCTGGTGACTCTGATGGGGATTTATTCAGAATTAAAGGCACACTTAACCAGCATGGCTACCACAGCATTCCGCAGTACAGTAACAGTACAGTAACAGTTTTGATGTCTTGTAGAAAATGTAGAAAACTTTTAAATAAAAAACTTCGAATTTTAAGGTGTGTCCAAACTTTTGACTGTCTGTATTATACAGTAGCTTGAAATGAGCAGCGTTCACTCTTGCAATAGTTCAATCGTTCAACACAACACCTCTCTTTATCCCAACACACAACTGCCCAACAGCAACGAGCCTATCTGGCCTACTGGGGAAGTAAAAGATGTTCTTACTCAAAAAAAGAATAAGCTAGAGAAACTTCAATGTGTAGCCAGCAAGTTAATTAAAACAACTATACCCAACAACACGGTGCAGAAAGAAGAGATCATATTTTAAATGTCAGTTAAAGTGCTGCAGACGGCAATGGAAGTCACATGACAATATTCCCAACTTGGATACATTTTTATTATAAACATGTTTATTCTGTTGTTTCAGGAATATAAATGATCAAGTAAAGGATGTAAATGTGGTCTTAATGGCCGCTTCGAAGGTAAGGAGTCAGCGACCCTTTTTTTCCTCTGAATAATACATTGGTGCTGTTTCTTTAAAAATGCTATGATTGATTAAATTGTGTGGAATCTAACTGTTCTACCAATGTAAGCAAAGGTGGGAGAAGTATAGAGGCTTTGCATATGACGTCACGTTACCCGTGAAGTCAGCGCAACGGCCATACTGGAGTACCAAAACAGACACCGTAATACGCCATACCTGTTCAATGTTTGTTTTTTACCGGACATACAATGGTCAACTTCTGTGCCATTGTTGGCTGCGGCAACAGAGGTGATCGAAACAGGGGGCCGAAGTCATTTTACAGGCTGCCGGCGGTTATTATAACACACCAGGGTGATGCAACACATGAACTTTCAAAGCGTCGCCAGGAAAAATTGCTCAATAGGATCGGACCTCAAACCATCCAACCACAACTATACTCGCGTTTGTGGGGATCATTTCACGTCAGGTAAGTGTCGGGTTTTACATACAAACATTCAAAATGAACATATAACCCACGTACTAAGACATGCATCTTAACAAGGAAATAGGAATCCTGTAGTCTGTCATCGATCGACATATCAGATTGTGGAGTATCTACAAAGTAAAGTCATCCCTTGGTCATCTTCACACCAGTCTGTCAATCTCCTGCAGTGCTTCGTTTATCTGCAATTTAAAGTAATCCCTCCCCTTACTGGCCATTTGATTATATGTAAACAGTAAAGGCTGTACAGTCCCTGGCACCTTTTCAGAGGCTTTTGGTTCCTCAATTATTTGTCATGTTCCAATGTCTTGACACCAGCATTTTAAATATATCTAAAGTCTGACTTGTCCTGTCAAAAGAGGTCAAATTTGTATTAATTAACAGTTCACCCAGGATATAACTGACCTACAAGTGGCACTTTTTGACAAAAATCATCCTGACTGGGCACCGTCTGTCAAATTGGGCCACGAGAAAATTACAGCACCTTCCCCTGCTACACATGCCAGTTATAAACGCGCCAGAAAAAGGTCATCCATCGCACTACTTGATCTCTACAGCATGGTATCTGATATACCATCTTTAGAAGAGCCCACACCAGTCCTGGGAGCCACTGGGGAAGAAGAAGGACTGATTAAACCAGAGACTGGCACTGCAACTCAGACTGATTAAGCTTGGGTAAATACATTTAGAAAAAAACAATTGAAAGGGCAAAGTATTATATTTATTACAGGTTTCCAATTTACCCAGTGAAAAACAAGTACATGTGGTGGTACACCTGGAGTACTGCCATTTTTATCGCTATCTCCGACTTTTATTTTTGTACTCTATTTTATGTTTTATTTTTTGATTTCTTATTATTATTACAATTATTTGTTTAATCTCTCAAAGTGTATCAGTATCCCTTGTTGTGAAGCACTTCGAGATTTGTCTTGGCAGATGAGAAGCGCTATATAAATTAAATGTATTATTATTATTATTATTACATGCTTCTTTAACTGTAAGCTGCAGAGATCACCTCACATAACAGAGATAGATTAACATTGTGTTCATATTACAGTTATTTTCAATGCTAAAACACATTTTTTGAAAGCAGGGCTTATTTTCTCAAAACACTAAACACAATTCACAAAACCATACACACAAAGTGCAACATACCTCATATATACTGTAGACTTAAGCACTGCACCCAGAACTACAGAAACACTTACCAAAACCAAACTGTTGCACCAAATGGCACACACTTCATTCATAGTACATAGTATAAGACATTTTGTAAAACCAACTACACACCATCGTGGTCAAGCACACTGTTTTATGGCGTTTGATATAGAGAATTCTGCAAATAAAGATTGTTCAAGTCTCCAAAATATGTGCAGAAACACAAATATACTGTTGTTATACTTTTACTTTTCAAAAAGTGGAAAGTTGAATTGAAAATTGGGTGCAGAGCTGAACATGTGTTTAGAGTTTTGGATATTTGAGCTGAGGTTTTGCTCTTTGAGTGTCAGTTTAAATAATGATGATTTTTGTGTCATTTTAGTGTGCACAACTTGTTTTGATTGTTACACTTACATGACATTACATTGCATTTAGCTGACGCTTTTATCCAAAGCGACTTACAATAAGTGCGTTCGACCAACAAAATACAACCTTGAAGAAAACAGAATCATATAAGTACATCAGGTTTCATAGAGCAAAAACATTTCAAGTGCTACTCAACTGGCTTTAGATAAGCCAGTCCTTTGTTAGTATAAGTGCTTTCTTAATAATTATATTGCTCGAAGTGGAGTCGAAAGAGATGAGTTTTCAGTCTGCGCCGGAAGGTGTGCAAGCTTTCTGCTGTCCTGATGTCAATGGGGAGCTCATTCCACCATTTTGGAGCCAGGACAGCAAACCCACGTGTTTTTGCTGATGGGAACTTGGGTCCCCTTCGCAGCGAGGGTGCAGCGAGCCGTTTGGTTGATGCAGAGCGGAGTGCACGTGCTGGGGTCTACGGTTTAACCATGTCCTGGATGTAGGAAGGGCCAGATCCATTCGCAGCATGGTACGCAAGTACCATTGTCTTGAAGTGGATTCTAGCAGTTACCGGAAGCCAGTGAAGGGAGCGGAGTAGCGGCGTGGTGTGGGAGAATTTAGGAAGGTTGAAGACCAGGCGAGCCGCTGCATTCTGGATGAGCTGCAGAGGTCGGATGGCACATGCAGGTAGACCAGCCAGGAGGGAGTTGCAGTAGTCTAGGCGTGAGATGACGAGAGCCTGGACCAGAACCTGTGTTGCTTTCTGGGTCAGCTGGGGACGCATCCTGCTGATGTTGTAAAGCGTGTATCTGCAGCAGCGGGTTGTAGCAGCTATGTTTGCAGTGAAGGACAGTTTGTTATCTAGGATCACACCCAGATTCCTTGCAGTCTGAGTCGGGGAAACAACAGAGGTGCCGTGTACTTACATGTTCTTTATATAGATTTAATGTAAAAGAAACAAGTTCAATCAAATAATATATACACTGTCATTCAGATTGATTAGTACTTCTGTTTCTTTTGAGAGGGGACGCCTTTTCCTGGGTAACTGTCTTGGCATCACGTATCCGTATAGATGTTTCTATGTCGAAAAGGAGAGATGCAACATGGGTATATGTTGATCCCAAACCAGCCTTGCAGTTGCCAGCTGTGATGACTGCACCATCCTTCTTCATCAGTACCCACGGACATGTTGGCGGCAGCCAAATACTCTGAGAATGCAATACCTGAAAAATAAAATACAAAAATATTATTGGATTGTTGACTATTTAGAACCACCTTGTCATATGCTAGGTAGCACATAACAGAAGCTGACAACCAAGAATAGGTTCACAACTTTTGGAATTTAAATATATTGCAATATATAATAAAGCTTTATTTATAAATCCCTTTTCATAAAGCACGTGTAGCTCAAAGTGCTTTACAATCACAAGTTAAAAATAAACCACGAGAAATTCCCCTCAGATCAGATGTTAAGACCTTTACAGGTACATAGCAACAACATTTTAAAAGGTTAAGAGACACGGCGAGGTAAAAGGTATGATAATAAAAATACATAATAAGACACAAGACTAAGTTAATTGATGCAACAATATAAAACCCTATAAAATAAAGTAAACATATAGATATAGGTACAACAAAAATAAAAGCTGGTGTTTAAAAATGTCCACTGAGTTGGCCTCTGATATTTCTTGGTAGCGTAGTGGATAAAAGCAGCCTCACCCATTTTATTTTGGGGGACTTTAGGGATATTTAAAAAGCCAGCTGAAGAGGACCTCAAGAAATATTTACTCACTTTTCCAGCTATTACAGCCACATCTCCTTGATATGCAACGCAAATGTCGCGGATCCACCCGGATGTGAACTCTTTATGTGCCTAGAGAGTCCTTTGTACGCCTTCATTTCCTCCATGGTGTACAATGGAATAGACGAAAAAACTAGGTAGTTCACGATATCAAAGTAGGAAAGTGAAGGCCATTAATTTACATCGGTGCTGTAATCCTTAACGGGAATCAAATAAGGGTCCACTGAACCAATCGACGTATATTTTTCTCTGTAAACGGTCTTATCCTCCGGGTTTAGTGATTCGTAGTAGCCTTTCATTTTCGCCATTTTTGAACGCTGCCACCAGTAGAGTGGTACTCCAAGATGTCTGCCGCGAAATCCCGTGACGTCATTAGGAAGCCTCTATTCAGATATTGTACTTTAGTGAAAGTAGAAGTACCAGAGTGTAGGAATACTCTGTTAGAAGTATGATGACACTGGTACTGTGCAATGACAAGTCCTGCAATCAAAAAGTTACTCAAGTAAAAGTACAAAAGTATTCAAATCAAAATGTACTCAAAGTAAGTACTCATTATGCATTGGCCCATTTTTTGAAATATATATATTATATGTTTTAATTATAATTATGGTAACACTTTATATTAAGGTACAGAAATTCCCCATCAACTAGTTGTTCATTACCATGCATATTAGCAGTATATTGGCTCTTTTTTTAGTCATTATAAAATTCATTCATTTATTAATGCCTTATTCTACATGACAGTATTCTACAAGTAATAGGCCATTAGTTGAGAGTTTCTCCTCAATAACCCTTTAATTAGTTCTTATTTATTGCAAGTAAGGCAGTTAATGATCTCATACATGCAAGTGTAAGATACACAGATTAGCACATAGGACCGCTAAGTGTGAACAAGGTAAATATAGCTAATGCTATCTGTGCAATAAGCATGTATACAGGCTAGTATGGCTAACGCTAGCGTGTATGCTATAGCTAGCGCGAATGCTAATGCATTTTCTCATTGAGTTTAAACATCTCCAAATGTCATCACATAAACACAATACATGTTACTAATCCTTACAGTGTAGGTGTAAGGCTTACACTTAAACTTACAGTCATTGCCTTCTGACGGACTTGACCCTTTTACTCTTCAGGTTGCATAGGGGAAATTAGTAGTAGTCTACTGCCATGCTATTCAGTTCACTTTCTCCTACTTCCTGTAGGCCTACCCGGTTTCCTGTCTAACCTTCAGTACACATTTTTCAAACATATAAATGTGCAAATATGAAACATACAGGTCAATATCACCTTGCTATTGGTAGCTGAACTGTCAATACTCCAACACCTATTCTTAGATAGAAATACCTAATGTGTTGTTATTTAGACGCAATTAACACTTATACTTTCATGTCTTGTTACATAAGAATAGATCATATTTGTTAAGTGTTATTATGGGAGAATTACTATTCTTGTGGTACTGATGCCTTATTAGGCCCATATTGAGCAGAGCATATTAAGACCAAAACTCATGTACAACAACTTCCTTACAAATAAGCACTAAAGTGTTATTGAGGAAAACCTCTCAACTAATGGCCAATTACTTGTAGAATATGGTCACGAGGCATAAGATATAAGGCATTAATAAGTGTTTTATAATGACTAATAAAGAGCCAATATACTGCTAATTATAATATGCATGGTAATTAACAACTAGTTGATGGTGAATGTGTGTAGGGTGTCTCGTCAAATGTGTTAGTTATGTTTATGTATTATGTCTGTCATTTTCATGTTTTTTCACGTCTGGTCATGTCTGTTTATTTAGGTTATTCATCTCTAGTCAGTCTCTGTCTTTATTGTCATGTTTCGTTTTCCATTTCCTGTTTAATTTTGTACTTACCTCTTGTCTTTCATGCAGGGTAGCTTGTGAATTTAGTCCAGGTGTAACTCAAGTCCTTTTTAAGTGCTGTTTATATTTCATGTTTTTAATCCAAATGTGTAAAGTAACTAAAGGTACTAAATAAATGTAGTGGAGTAAAAGTACACAAATGTACTTCTGAATTGTGGTGGAGTAGAAGTACGGAGTAAGGCATGCCATTTTGCCAAAAGTGTGTGTGTGTGTGTGTGTGTGTGTGTGTGTGTGTGTGTGTGTGTGTGTGTGTGTGTGTGTGTGTGTGTGTGTGTGTGTGTGTGTGTGTGTGTGTGTGTGTGTGTGTGTGTGTGTGTGTGTGTGTGTGTGTGTGTGTGTGTGTGTGTGTGCCGTGTCAAAATGCAACATGTTCCAGCTGACTGCAATTAAACGATAAACTGGAAATACTTACTGTTGATTTAGTTGTACATAATTTGGTCTTAATGTTTTCCACGGAGGAGTCGGTTACCTCACCGTTCACCACCCAGAGCGGACACACATTTATCTAACTGGGGGTTTATCAATTAAGCTCCCCTCGCCCTCACCCCTCCTCCCCTCACTTGCTTTTTGTGTGTTCCAGGGCAACAGGATCTGGAAAAAACAGCGCACACAAATCGTAGGCTTCGCAATCAATCAAGGAGCCGAGCTGTGCGGCTCTGGACTCGAAACAAACACAGCCAAGCAAAGAGGAGGAAAAAAAGAACACAATTTCACAAGTTGGTTTTTTTCATCTCTCTTCTTTATTATTTGACTCTGTTAGCTTCATAAATCCTCTGGATGGGAGATGGGAGCCTCAGTGAGAGATTTATATCCCATGCCTTTTTTCTAATCCAATATCCCCTCCTCTCCAGCCATTCCCAAAAGGGTTTGGCTGTGAGGACTCAGTGGAGGCTCTGCTGAGGGGAAGCACACACACGCACGCACGCATGTACACGCACACACACACACACACACACACACACACACACACACACACACACACACACACACACACACACACATACACACACCCTGAGTGACGAGAGCAACAAGAGGAATGTAGCGAGTTGCGCCACATCCCAGCTGGACTGACAGTGAGTGCTAGCGGTGTCCTCCTTTCCACCGAGGAGGATGAAAGGACATCAACTGGTCGAAGACACAGAAGGAACGCCTGGAATTAAGAAAAAGGGGAAGCTGTCCAACAGGGGGCTTGCCTGGGAGACGACCTCGGTTCACTGCTAAAGCAAAGAAGTAGAAGATGGGAAAAAAATACAGAGAGAGGACTTAAAAAACACTACCCCATGCCACACCTGTGATCAATTATGATCTGCAAAATTAGAGAGTTGCTAACATAACCCCAGCCTGTAATAATTCATAATTATCAGAAGAGCAGTGAGAACGGAACTCGCAGGGTTCACACAGCTTTTGGAACAAGTTTGGAAGAGGGGTACGATGTCCTTGGTGGGGTCAAATGAATCTAAGTGTGGTTTAATCATACAATCATGTCTATTGTCAGTGAAAATATTTGCCTTGAGAAGCGGCTGTCTGTTATTACTGAAAAACCTTGTTACTTTCCCCGTCCGAAACCTCTTCCAACTTTTAAAACAAAAACGGCATTGTAAAATAAATGATGAAGCAATAAACACCTACTCCACCATTGTTTTCTGGCTTGTTTATGTAGCTGCAAGCGATTGCCCTCTGATAAATCGCACTTGTGGGTTAATCACATCCATTAAACATTGATTGGAAACAAAGCAACACTAGATATATTTGGACCGAGAAATGAACCAAGGACTTATTTTGCTTAAAGAACTCGACAAACGTTTTTTTATTCTTTTTTTGCGAGGCCACATCAATGAAGATGACTCAATAAGGCGGTAATCTAACGTCAAAATGGGATATTTTATCTTTATCACCCACCTTTATGGTTGTAGAAACAGCTCTTATCTTAACGAGGGATTAACGTAACGTCCACACGGCAGCGTCGCGTTGAAGCTTGCCGGTGGGCGTGTCTGTCGTGGATCAACAACCAATCACATTAATCTCCCGCCCGGACACACAAGCACACGGTTTGATTGGCTAGTGCTTGTGGCATATGATTTGATTGGCTGGCGCTTCCGTCGAGGTTTGAAAAGTTGAACTTTTCTCAACTTTCGAAGCGAGCAACGGAGGCAAAGCGACGCGACGGAACCACAATGCAGTTTGGCAAAGCGTGACGTCACCCCATTCAAAGTGAATGGGAAGCGTCTCCGTTGAAGCACTCGACGCTGCCGTGTGGACGTGATAAACGTTCTCAACCCTACGATCCTTGCCCTAGCTGTTAATAGCACAATCGTGAAGAGAAAAGTGTTGCAAAGTCTGAAATATGAAGTGTCTAGATATGTTACACAGAGGAGTAGACAGGGAGAGATACTATCAGTGTGAAATGCGATGCTCTGATTATAAAAAACTATCTTTGCTTGTCGCCACTGCTGCTAAACCCGTAAGAGAATCACAGCAGTAATAATAAGACATGGCCTCACACCAGTGGACACTTCACTTACTGGGCGGAGAAGGAGGGGGGTGCAAAATGAAACTCCTTTCCAAACAATCCCTGTGCCAGAGAATATACCAGAGAATACACTCTCCCTGAAAGAAAATAAATCGAATCTCCTGTTTGGGTTAGATCGCTGAGAAAAAATAAAGACAATTTGCCGAAACTGCTCAATACGTAGTGTGTTAGCACCAGAGCTAATTGTAGGAAAAATGTGAAATATGAGCCAAAATGGACAAGGATAATTGCTGTTCACTTTGAGATGCTAGTTCACAGCCACTTTTGTCAAATAAAGTCCTCCGAATTCAACAAAGTGTCACTGTTTATATGTGATTTCTTATCAGGATGATCAAGAAGTCATGTCTAAGATCCCGAGTGCACACAGTGTGTTGTAATATGTGAATGTGAGCCAGAAAATCCAACCTAGAAATTAGGAATAAAGTAATAAATCAGCCCAAGTCAAGCTTCTGAGAAAACAGAGGCAAGATTCTCATTTATTTCTACTCAGCACAAAGTTGTCTCAGCTGCAGGTATCTGCAGTTGTCTCTCATGTTACAGTGACATTATACACTATAATACATCATACTTTATTTCTGAAGTTAGATTTTTTCTTTTTGCATAAGACTATGAAAAGACCTGTGTGGGCTTAAAAATGGCCAAACATTGACATTGGAAAAGGAAAGCTAGGCTTCTCAGCGTTTAAATCATCCATGATGACATGACAGCTAACATTCCGAAATACCACCGATGTAGTAGCTTTTGCATGAGGTTATAATTACAACCACATCAGCTAGGATTTTCCTGTGTCTGACTTCCACTTCAGGGAAGCTTTAAGGCCCCAAAAGTTAGTTCCTGGAGGATGTTTGTATTGTTTTATTCAAGGCGATCTCCATCATCAAATACAATAGCTTGGTCAGTGGTCAAACTATGACCCTCCTCGTTCCCCTAATCGTTTTTGCATATTCATGACTGCCTATCATGGTCGTACTAATTATGATGGAAGTAAAGGAGAAAGTCATGACGTGGTGTAGTGTGAAAGAGTCTGCAGAGGGAGGAGAAGGTGGTAGATGGAAGGGTCAAACATCACACGACTTTCACCCTGCAGTTTGTGTCCCTTGGTAAACAGAAGACAACTCTGACTTATTTGAACTTGAGTAACTTACTAAATTTAAACGAAACACGTAATGTACTACAAATGTAATCTAATTTGCCTAATTTGCTTAAATTTGAACCCAAGCAATGATCTTTCCCTATATAAGTATCGTATCGTAAGGCACCTACGTAACATACTACGTAACTTAGGTTACCCAACAAATGTTTTTTAATTTTTAACACAAACCATGATCTTTTCCTTAACTTAACAAAGTAGTTTTGTTGATCAGACCTAACCAAGTAGTAACTTAAGCTCCTAAATGTACATAACGTACCTACCTAATCAATGTACTAACACAAGTTACGTTACACATATACTTTATTTAATATAAACTGATCGTTTTCTTAACCTATAACCAAGTAATTGTATTGGTCAAACCTAACCAAGTAGTAACTTAACCTCCCAAACTAACTTGCATACAACAATATGTTAGTATTAGTTGTTTTTAGTATTTGATATTTAGTATTTTACTTGAATGTGCAATATGACTTGTCACCAAATGACTTGTCACTGTCACAGGCTGTTACCTATTCTCTACTGGGGCACTGTAATACGTTACCAAGTAATTTTGTTCTCTATAACAAACAAAGCAGTAACATAACCTACCTAACTTACAGTATGTAA